ACCAAATAATGTTATTTTTAGCAGCATCATATGACCCCTTTAAGGAGGAAATTAGAAAAGGACATAAGAGCAGGTCACATTATGTGTAAAATGAAAAGAGACACAGTTACTTCATATAAGTTCACTTTTTACGAGAATACAATGAGGTAACAGTAAAACCAGCATTGATAAGAGGAGACACACTGATGCCACAGCGTTATCATGTTGCCATGGGAGAATTAGACCAGTGGAGAACCATAAATTCCTTCATGATCCTAACACAAATCACAACAAGGGGCTCAGAGACTACCATCATTATTTCTCTGTGCACACCAGAGACAAACACTCATTAGAAACTGCTTGGAACAAATGCAAAGCATTCAACCTTTTCAATCACATCTCTCTGGATCCATTGTTCCAAAACTGAATGAACTTACTTGGGCTCTTTTATCTATCAATTGAAGGTTCTGATTGGTGTGTGATACATTTTTACTCGTAGTGTTTCCACGTGGGTAACTGTGTGCTAATTGAGCTCAAGCTATGCTGACTTGAGTGAACAATATTGAATGCTAGTGCTTTCTAAATGACATGGCGTTATGGTTTTGAAATCTTAGTTCAAAAGCCTGGTGATAGTGTTTAAGCAATCGAGAAAAACTGTAATCACATTTGAAAATGGTTGTGCTGCTTAAAATTTTAGTGGAAACTGAGACTTCTTTTCTCTCCAGGATTCTTTGATGAATAGGAAGTTCAACAGAACAGCATTTATTTGAAATATAATTTTGTAACAATCATTTTTGTCACTTTTGATAAATTTTATTAATCTTCGCTGAACAAAAGTATTACTTTCTTACAAAAAAAAATACAAAATCTTACTGACCCCAAACTTTTGAACCATAGTATACATATAAACTTCAGTTTATTTAAAGGCTTTTCCCCCATAAACTGGTATGACTCAGTGCTTATTTTCCCAAATGACTGGCGGTTGTTCCATAGGATTCCAATGACAGAGTCAGCCAGCTAAAATGTTAATACACAAATAGTTGTACAGACACCACTGAACACTTGTCAGACTTTGTCTGTTATCTCTCGGTCTACCATCATCGGGTTTAATTTATTGTCTCAGGGGTGGGGTACAAAATTCTCTGCACCATTTTGGAATGTTGACATAGAAATGGAATTAATGAGAGCTCCATGAACCTAAAAATGACAGAAAGACATTGTTTCTACTCAAAACAATGGATGGAATGAAGCTATTGATGCTAGGTAATTAAATCAATGCCTAAATATTAGTGCTCAGTTAATCTAATCAACCATGGTGTGAAAGAGGATCCCTACCAATGCACAAGTGTGCGTGTGCATCTGTTTTGAGTCTGAAATAGGCTCCTCTTCAAACCACGAAGGTTTTAGGGTGACAGAGTCAGAGGTTAGAGGTCAGGGTCTGGGTATAGGACAAGACAAGGCCCTGCATGGAAGAAAATAGATCCTAGCTGCATCTGTTCAAAAAGCTTACCCAAGAGCCATTTAGCAAACATCACATAGGGAGGGAGGCCCCTATAAAACCACCAGGCATCCATGGAGAACATCTCAGTCCATTCAGGATCTTTGCCGCCGACTGTAGTCCTTCCTCAGTGACCCCCTCTTCCCAAAGCACTCATAAGTAGCACCATGTGTGACATAGAGGAGTTTGTGGAGGAGTTTGAGGAGGAACAGGAGGAGGTGAACGAAGAGGAAGAGGAAGCGGCTGAAGAGGAGGATGAAGAAGAAACCGAGGAGAAAGAGGAAGAGAAAGAAGAAGATGAACAAGAGGCAGAGGAAGACACCAAACCCAAGCCTAAGATGTTTGTTCCCAACATTATACCACCAAAGCTGCCAGATGGAGAGAAAGTGGACTTTGATGACCTCCACCGGAAGCGTGTGGAGAAAGACTTCAATGAATTGCAGAGTCTCATTCAGCTGCACTTCTCCACCAGGCAGAAGGAAGAGGATGAGCTTGTGTCTTTGAAGAACCGCATTGAGCGCCGTCGGGGCGATCGTGCAGAGCAGCAACGCATCAGAGCAGAGCGTGATCGCGAGAGGCAGGCGCGCCTTGCTGTGGAAAGAACACGGCGTGAAGAGGAGTCAGCCAAACTGCGTGCCGAGGAGGATGCCAGGAAAAAGAAGATCCTTTCCAACAAGGGCTACGGTGGCTACCTGCAGAAGGTGGATCAGAAGAAGGGCAAGAGGTTGACAGAACGTGAGAAGAAGACCAAATGTCTGATGGAGCGTCGCAAGCCGCTCAACATCGATCATCTCAACCAGGAGAAGCTGGGAGAGAAAGCCCTTGACCTTTGGAAGTGGCTCACTCAACTCCACGCTGAGAAGTTTGATCTGGCAGAGAAGCTAAAAAGGCAGAAGTACGACATCAACGTTCTGCGGAACCGTGTTAGTGACCATCAAAGAGGAGCTAAGACAACCAAGACCACCAGGAAGTCCTGGAAATAAATTAACTGGACTGACACATTGCAATGACACAAAACAGTTTGTTGGAATCACAGTTTCAAGTCCCGCATTTAACTTTTTAAGACATCGTTATTTCTATTTTTATTTTTTGATTAATCTAAAATTACACTTTATTCATTTAGCATTGTATCATACATGTAATGGGATTTATAGTGTTAATGTTTCATGTAATCTGAAGTAATCTGAAAATCTCATGCTGTAAACCTTTTAAAAGTTACATTTTTTCTTTGTGCACAACATTTCATAATATGCAGTAGAAATGCAAATCAAAATGTTTTTTGATAACCCCAGTGTTATCAAATACAAATATATGGTAATTTATTTTTGGAAAACATGCACATGCATCGTAACTTGAGAGGCACAAGCACTGCTTTTTTACAATTACTAATTGACAATCTACAAAAGCTCTTGCAGAAATTACAAATAAGAAATCATTTTAAATGTGGAATTAAGTGCTGGAATACAAGCTATTAATAAACAAATACATCAAGATGTTATATAAACGGAAAAGGTCTTTATTGTAACAAACATAAGGCACATATTTTACTGTAACAGCAATGTTTTAGTACATACTTCAAAGTATCCATTTCGTTTACATTATAAAGCTAAATGAGTTTTGTGCAGAATAATTTTTAGGCTACAGAGTTTCAAGGACGGATAAGTAGCAAAAGTGTAAGTGATATTCTTCATCTACAAAGACCCATTTTCCACATTCCACTCCATCTAGTGCAGTTGAGCGCCCAAGCCATTCAAAAAGTACACTCCATTGTCAAAAAGTTTGGATGGCTTAAGTCTCAGAAAAAAAAATACAAATAAGTGTTTCATTTCTGATTTGTAACTCTCTTGCTTGATAAACAAAAAAGCATATGATTTCTAAAAGCTTGCAGCAGTTATATTGGGCCTATGCAAAACTTCTATGCATAAATCACTGTTAGCATTGCGTTTAAAAAAACATAGTAAAAATGTCTATATTCTTTGAAATTAACATTAGTGCATCTAACGCAAAACAGCTGTTTATATAGCTTATAGGCTAAACACACATTTCTATGCCATTTAAAGATCACACCACTATCAGGGCCTGAGTGCAAACAGATGGTTTGCTATTTTTTTTGCACATAACTGTATAATTAAGCAGAATTTTATAGCAGTACAAACTAGATTCCTTATAAAATTGGACGGATCATTTGTAATCTAACAAAAAACAATTTAAAGCATATTGGTCACATATATATTTCACACTTACAGTTCAAGATTAAGGATTTAAGAAGCTGTAGTACTGATTATTTTAATCAAGCCCACTTTATCTAAGTTAGCCTCTTTTTTCCAAATCGTACCAGGTATGACCTTGCAGTAAGATTTAGAAATCCCGGTTGTTGCTGCTGATCATTTTGGGGTATGAAGTCCCAATGGAGCGCCCGAATCTGTACACCACAATCTCAAGCAGGTACTCATCCACCTTCACTGTAACATTGGTCACACGCCTATCAGACAGAAGGAAGACGATAGTAAAGAGAGCCACCTCAAACTCTGGGCTGACGCCAATGAAACAACTGCCCACCGGCTTGACCAGGCCATTCCAGCTGAACTGCAGGTTCAAGACGTGATCGTCTTCGTCTGGCTGTGAAATTGAACCAAATGTAAATGTTGGAAGTATTGCACACAAAGCTATATTAAATTGGTTATATCATTTTTCCCTTATCAAATCAAATGATGAAATACCGTGTCCTTGTTATTTCTGGCCTTGTATCCTTTGTAGTCCACATGATTGTGTTTCTCCTGATGGTAAAACTGGACCCAGTTGTGGAGGCCCATGATCTCTTTACCATGTTTGGTTTCACCAACAAACACATGCTCAAATCCACATGAATCTTCACTGAATTAGATGCAAGAATGAGATGGTAGATCAATTAAAATTACTTTATGTATAAATGCTGGGCACGTAAATTACCATTAGCACATAAACCCAATCTTGTATCTTAGTTACTAATCTAACAAACCCAGTTCAGGTTAGAGGTTTGAAATACAGTGATATATGCTAGCCCGTTCAAAAGAGGATTATAACTCACCCTCCACTTTTGTCTCTGCGATAGAGCTTAAACCAGATATCATAGAGCTGGCTCTTAAACTGAGCTGGATCCGACTGGGCTAGACCTTTGCATACTAAATACCTGTGGGCACACTGCAAAGACAAAACCTGTCAGAACAGGACTGAAAGAATATAATATTTTTCTTCACTTGTACAGTTTTTGCATGTATTTGCAGAATGTCGTCTTTACACTTTATTGTAACAGTCAAGCTAAAAGCTCATTTGCACATTTGTCTCACATGACCATATTCACTATCCACTTCCCATCCAACACATTAAACCACAATTATGTCTTTACTGTTTTTTTGCAATCAATATTTTTTGTAATAAGTATTTTTTTCTCCCAAAAATACTGCAAGGATAGGCAGTGCGCTACAAAACAAGATACACCAGGGCACATTTTGTAAGTTACTAAATAATCAAATAAATAAATAAATAAATGTCACATTTTGTAAGCAAATAAATAAATATAAAAAAGTGTTTTAATAAGCGTTTACTTTAATATAAATACTCATAAAATATTAAATATTAATTAAAACATCCACGCTACTGGAAAATGTTTAGTAGTTTTAGCATTAGTTACTTTGCAACTCTGGTCAGGAATGACCTCTATCAATCAGGCAACAGTCAATAGCATGCATACTTCAAATTCTTTTAAGTTGCTAAATTTCTACATGTTCAAACATGCCATTACTAAATAGCAAGGCAAAAACAGTGATCAGTGAGCGATAAGATACCTTCATGACCTCTGTCTTCAGAACGGCATCCAGGAAAAGATGGTTTTCCTGAAGCTCCTCGTGTGTCACATGCTCAGTCACTCCTGTAGACATCTCATAATTGTCCAGCAGATTTATAAAGTCTGAGAAGAGACAGTGAATAAAACAGCTGTCTAAACAATTTTGCCATGCACTGCATCAGATCAAAAAAGATCAGTGACTAATGAAAACTGAAAACATATTAGTATAGAAAATGGCGCTTAGCTTCTTACGGGCGTAAGTATCAATGCTTTTGAGCTTGTTTTCATTGACATAGGCGAAGAGAGGAGCTCTAGCACTGTCCCTGGCATTGTTACTGCCCTCAGCTACAAAGCCAGCCTTCCCCTGTGTGAAAACAAATGCACTATAAATGACTGATTGATAGTCACCTGCAATCACGTATGTGGAATATTATGATGCATTTACCTAAATTAATATGTAATCTTCATAAACATGCCTCCTCCCACAAACACCTACCTGTAGGTTGATTTTATAGTCTTTTCCAGGTTTCATGCGGTTCACATCCAGCTTCCACAGTTCATTTAGCACATCTGAGAGCTCCCGATTGATGCCTTGACTGCAGTTGAGAAAGTATGACATTAAACGTCTAAAATCAGTCAAATCTGGCTCTATTGTCTAGTTAAGACGGCAATAACAACAACTGTAGTAACTATGGTAATTGTTATTATGGCTACCTACCATGGTTATTTTTAAGGGTTATTTTAGTTCATCTATCTCTATATATCTACACTAGTCAATGACACAAAGGTCATGCAAGATGATAAAAAGGAGAAATCTTTAAAACATCTAGTTCACACAAGCGTCACTTTCTTGAAAAAAATGGTGTATTTGTAATAATAAACAAAATATCAGGTTTTAAGCGATCTAAATTTATCTTAAAATATATATTTTATTACATTTAGCAAGTCAAGATTTTTTTTTTTACATTATTAATAGTAATATACGCTCAATGACATGCTGTCATTTCTTTAAGCATTTTTTTTTTTCAATCTTTTAGACAGTGATACCACCTAGACCTTTTTTCTTTAAGTCCCACAAAACATATCTAAAATTTATTTTAATTCAAACACTGAAAACATCACAGAAGAGGTGTATTCAAGTTAACGTCTGTATGAACTGTACGTATTAATATGACTTATAGAATTCATTAGGGAGTTTGCAACTTGCTTATCAACAGGTGTAACTTCAAATGCAGTGTAATAAACACCGTATTCAAGCCACTTTATATGAAAAATACCTAACGTCATGTGCGGCTTCTATTCTCTCGAAACCGGAAATTCTAATCTCACAGCAATCTCTACTCTCTTTTAATTCACAGCAAGTAGCATTTGGATTGCGCACGATGTTAAAACGGAACGGGAAGCTCAGAAGATTATAGATGTAAAGTAAAACGTTGAGACACACAGCTCATATCCATGTGAGTCACCCTAACATGAAAACACACAACACAACAACTGGTTGTCAAGTTCAATTCCGTTTCCAAAACACAGGTTTACGGAAAAAAAATCATGAAGATGTTATGGAGTTACAGCAGCAGTTCCTCGCATCTGGAAACAGTTGAATAGAGGCCCTTTGTAAATGTGGCATCGCCTCCACTTCAAACAAAACTCGCTTGTACAACTAAAACAACTTTCAGCACGGCAATAACGGCAAAAAATATGTATGAAAAATATACACGAAGCTTCGTATAGAATATCGTTGTGCATATCCGTTTATTAACCTTCTAGCAGTTTATATTAATACGCACCGGATGTTATACCCGTTTGCGCTTGAAAACTAAAAGCATTCGTTTTAAATAAAAACATTGCATCATGACTCGATCACATTTACGGCATAGTTCGGCAAAAGGATAGTCATTATGATTTTAAAAACACAATAAATGCCCCTATGTAATAACACAACTTTTTGAGGCGGCTGATCTAGAGCACAAAACGGAAAGACCGTTAAACATCTGTTGCCACTCATTTTCTCACCCTCTGGCCATATTCGCAGGTTAATCCACTTTGTGGTTCAAAGAAATACGTTTCGTCACTCAAGCGATGAAAAGATGGCTTGTTTCCAGGGTGTGTTTATGCTATGTCAAACAAACATTTTGATCGATAGACGAATCTGACCAATGAAAGTGGCGCACGGTTACTGCATTTCGTCCCGGATTGGTTGTTTTCCCTAGAGGGCGAGACATATTAACCAATAGCAGTGTGGAAGAAAACAACCTGAAATCCAGGAACTTGCTGTAAACTTGTCTGGCTGTAAACGTGGTAAAAAGTGACACAAATCTCAGCCAGAAAGGGTCCATTTTGTAATATTTATTTGCACAAAAATATAAAGTTTTATATTATAAAATAAAATATTTCCTCCCAGTCCGGCAGCAGAGTGGGAATTGCATTTATTCAGTACTCTTAAACTGGAATGAAATGTGACTGGAATAATTTGGGTAGGCCGTTGTCATTTTTTAAGGGATAGTTCACTAAAAAAAACGGAACATTGTCATTTACACAACCTTATGTGGTTCCAATTCTAGTCTTTTTATCTTCAGAACACAAAATTAAGATTTAACCATATAAGATGCGCTCTATGTATGTGCATTGATTAATATTTATGTGAATATAAGCCTAAATAAATCTGTTAATAATTTGTATCTCTTCAGAAGCCTTGTATTAAATCTCTCAATTCATTTTTTTTCCGCGTACTTTGTGAACTTTGTAAAGCTTAATTTTGTTTTAGTGAATGGACAAAACAAATGAGAGAATATTAATATAATATCTTATATCTTAATATCACCATTTGTGTTTGGATTCATAACATGAGCAAGTCTTATGAGTTTGGATGAATAAATTATGACATAATTTTTGGATGAACTGTCTCCAAGGGAAACCAGAGCCGTTCTTATGCTGCGTTCAAGTCCTCCTGGGACGTTCGTACTTACGAGTTGACAAGTCGTAATTACGACGTCAGGTGCGTTCAAGTCAGTTTAGTCGGCACAAGATGGCGGTGTACCTTCTTTTAATAAATTACAAGAAAATACAAAAGGGTCTGCATTTTTTTACTTGGATTTCAGCTGCATAACAAGAACATGACCAATTTAAGTTTATAGGACAACTAAACTATCAATTTAAACAAAAATTTACTGTCAACTACAAACGCATCCATCGATTCCGCCATGTTTCTCATTGACACGTCCCCAACTCGGAAACTCGGGGCTTAAAGAAAATTTCCAGTTTCCCACTCGTAATAACGACTTTGTGGTGGCGTTCATGTGCGTTCAACTCATAAATACGATCTATCCGACATGAATTGAACGCACCATTATTATCAACCTCCACACGTGTGCTTTGATAACCAATCACATTATAGCCTTTGACGACACTGAATTTCATTCAATCCTTCGCTGTTGCGCATTTATTTTTTGAATGTCCATGTTCATCTTTAAATAAAATAAATAAATATAAATAAACAACAACAAAAACCTGTTGCTAACTGCCATGACTTTTCTTACAAAATAGCATTTTTTTTGTTGTAAACTCCAAAAATAGATCAATCCAAAAGTAATGTTTCAAGAAAACATGATGAAGATCATTAGGTAATAAGCTGTTTCCTCACAAAAGCAGTTTATTCAACGTACTAAAGCCTCTTCGAGGCTCATTCAATTCAATTCAAGTTTATTTGTATAGCGCTTTTCACGATACAAAAAAGCTCTACCTCATTTAGTGGACTTTGCTATCCTAGGTACTACCAGTTTTGCGACCTTAGGGAGCGTGATGGATTGTAGCGTGGTAGAAGACTAGTTAGGTACGCAGGATCTAACCCATTAAGGGCCTTATAGGTAAGTAATAATATTTTGTAACTGATACGGAATTTAATAGGTAGCCAGTGCAGAGACTGTAAAATTGGGGTAATATGATCATCTTAATGGGTCTCTTTGTACCTTTGGTGCTGAGTTAGGATACTGATTTCTGAAAATGTCAGGGTTCATTTTAGTTCTGAAAAAGAGATGTGTGAGCTGACAAAAGTACAACTGCGACATGTAGGCCTATAGCCTATATAGATTAGGGAGCGCCACCTAGAGACTACTATAGGTCACGGTGCTGCCTTTAACGAGACAGGGGTTGCTGGACCAATTGGGCGTGCCGAAAGGAGGCGTTCCGAAAGTAGAATAACATAAACCACGCCCCTAACCCTACCCCCACGCCCTGACAGACAGCTTTGTCGACCAATCATGAAGAGATTTCGCCACGCCCACTGCTCCAGCCTGCAGTTATCCCTACTTGGCCAAAGACTTGGCTTTTTTTTTTTGTATTTAGTTGAATAGCATATTCAAAAAGAGAACGTGAGCTAAAGAACAAACAACAACAATAATAATACAAAATTAAATGTTTGTGAGTTTGTAAATTTGTATCTCACGATTTGCTCAGAAGCGCCAGTCCAGCAGTTTTCGACCGGAAGTTAGGGCGGAGCTTGTAGCAGGGAGGAGCGAACAGCACATGGTAAGTTGTTACTGCAAGTGTCAACATTAAACATTAACACAAACATTAATTGGTAAACAGTTTATTTACTGATTTGAATAAATGTTAGCTGGCAACTAGTTAACTTTTAATATCGTTTGGATTGACGTGCAATATTGCAATATAAAAGCTGCTTCTGTTGATTGCTTTCCTGTGAAGGCGTTAGTGGGCGTTCCTAGTGCTGTCGCTCCAATGTTATTGTATCTGGATATACTGTATATTTAGAAAATGCGATTACAAATTGTATATTTTGCCGGAAAACTACTATATCATTTTAATCTGAATATTTATTATGGATAATTATTTCACTTATGCATACATGTAATTTGTTATGTTTATACTACATCTGTTCATTTCTTAAAGCACATCTTAAAACGGAATCTTAAAACTCATTTTTTATAGCAAAATTCTGCCATAGAGAACTTACTCTACCAGTCAAACGTTTGGAATAATTAAGATGCATAATTAAGAAGTCTATATTTATTTGATCAAAAGAAAAAGAAAGATACTGAGAAATGTTAAAATTTAAAATAACCTTTTTCAGTTATTTTAATATATATTGTAAAATGTTATTTATTCTTCCTCCCACAGAAACCATTATAATATGCTGATTTGGAGCTCAGTTTCTTAAAACACTTTTTGCTGCCTTTTGTGTAACTTTTGTGGAAACTACAAAACACTACCATTCAAAAGTTTGGGGTGTGTAAGATAAAAAGAAGAAAAAAGAAGGAAAGAAAAGGAAATAAACTCTTCTATTCAACAAGGACACATTAAATTAAAATGATTCACGAAAGATTTCAGTTTCAAATAAATGCTGTTCAGTCTTCAAAGTATCCTGAAAAAAATTGTGTCCACAAATATTTTTAGCAGTGAAAACTTTCATAATAGAATCATTATTAATAATTAAGAACCAATAATAATTGATAATAACTGAACACCAAATCAGAATGCTTTCAGAAGGATCATGTCACATTGAAAACTGGAGTAATGGCTGCTGAAAATTCAGCTTCGCATCACATGAATAAATTAAATTGTAATAATAGTTCACAGTATTACTGTTTTACTGTATTTTTAAACAAATAAATGCAGCCTTGGTTATCATAAGAGACTTCTTTCAAAAACATTAGAAAACTGCAATTATTCCAAACTCTTGACCAGTAAATTTCAGGATCCTGTCTGGTACCCCACCAGAGATAATCAGCCTGAAAGTGTGGGGTGTTTTAAAATGATTACATTTCCCACTCCCATAACAAATAAAAATTCTCAAACCTGAAATGTTCTGCATGCACACTATACTGTACCTACCTAGCAAACCCTAAAAAAAACTTAGAACTGAGAATTCAACCCTTGTGATATCAGAGGTAATTAATAAAATTGTATATGCTTTTGTGGCGAACACCCTCTTCCACAAAGTACCACGGTCATGGCTTTGATTTCCAGGGAAACTAAGAACTGATAAACTGTATACCTTGACTGCAATGCAGTTCTTTTGGATAAAAGTATTTGTTAAATGCACAAATGTAAAAAAAATAAATAAAAAAAAAATTAATTTAGCAGACGCTTTTATCCAAAGCAAAATGCTTCTGTAACTAATGCCGCTGAAATGTGGACGTGCACTAATAAACACATATTTAAGATTAAAGAGGAGTAAAGTTCAGTAACCTCTAATGCTGCCTTGTCGGATTTGGTGAACGTGTGCAGCTGTTCACATCAGACCAAACTACTTTATAGGGTATAAAATTAAGAGGTTTAGACATCACCCAAGTTAAGTAAGTTCTGGCAGCCCATAGAACAGCTTGCGGGAAAGTTATGAAATTTGGTACACATATAGAGGACAGTCTCAACATTAACCATAGCAAGTTTGGAGTCTCTAACTCAAACCCTCTAGCGCCACCAACAGTTCAAAGTTGCACTCATGTTTATGTTAATAACTTTTGAACTGTAAAATCCAGAAGTAAAATTCTTTATTTTCCTCTGATTCCATGGCTCATGCAAGTCGAATGCATACTGAAGTTAAAATTTTTAACATCCTAGTAGGTTTGTCTGATTTTCACCAAAATTCTTAGAATTCAAATAATCTTCAGACCATGCTAGCAAAAAGTTAAGGAATTCAAGTTACTTAACCCGTTGTCGAATAACCTATGAATGAATTTGATGGAGAGAACGCCAAAATGGATGTGAGGCTATATCTCCACAATGCTTTGGCATATGTAAACCAAACTTGGTGTGTGTTATAACAACCATGACCTGATGATACCTTCGGCACAGCGCCACATAGTGGTCAGGAGATGTGACAAATGGCTATTTTTTATTTCTGAACAGATTGGCTGAAAATCACAAGACTGGTCTCTTTAGATTCGTTGAAGCATACCGGGTCAAATTATATCCAATTCAGTCCAATCAGCCATTCCGGGCATCTGCCATGGATTTCATGTCGATAGACAAAGTGGTTTTCATTTACTGCAGCAATAAATTTCATGCCGTAATACCAAACTGCATCTGAGGCTGTATCTCTGCAAAGCTTTGACATATTGACACCAAACTTTGTGTGCCATTGTAACCTCACACTGACCACACCACATTAATTTGGTGACCACGCCACCTATTTGTCAAAAATTATAAACCTGTAAGTCATATTACTAGTGATTGTATTTATGATTTTCAACCATTTTGACTGAAATCATCTTAAAATAGCTTAAACTACTCATTGTTTCAGTTGGTCGGATGCTCCTTACCATGCTTAGCTCCTCTGCTTGCAGCTATATTTTTATTAAAGTTTTATGATGCACAAAAACAATCATAATGATAAAACACAAACTTACACTCATAATGGTCTAATAAGATAATTTCTTGAAGTAAATGAACCTGTTTTACAGCAGCCAGTGTGCATGAGTGCCAGGCATGTTTATAGGGTGATTTAATGAACAGCAACCATTAGTTAGATATTTCTCAAGGTCACCAATTTCAGCTCCTAATGATATATAATATCAGGGCACCTGTGTTAGTTCATTTCTGTGTATGTTATAAGGAATTTGTTGTTTTTGTTGGATTATTTGAATGAAGCTACATTTACTACCTTCACACACTCTTTACCTTTTTCAGCAGAACGAAATTAAGTGCAAATTAAGGCTCCCCTGGACACTTCACATTTAGAGACAATAAAGGTATGTCTGCTTTCACATCTCTGAGAGACTACATAGAGTATTTGTACTTTTAAAAATTCATGTCACACTGCAGGACGATTTAAGTGAATTGCAAAAAGGAAATAAAAATTGTGGAAATAGTTAGTTTAGTATGTTATCTTTATGTTTTCTGTTAACATTTTTATAAACACCATGGTTTGACAGTACTAGTTATTGTTGTACTCACCCCCTAAATTAAATATAAAATTGGTGTTAGTTATGTCATAGTTGTGATTTGCTAAAGAGCGTTTGATTGGACAAAAAATCAGCTGAAAAATATAAATATAAATAGCAGGGAATGTAGTGCAGGATGAGGCATCAGTGTTTCTGGTCTGTTTTACCTGAAGAAAGAAGCTCTGCATTTTGCCAATGCTAGCATATAAATATTATTCTACAATCTGTTGTTTAAGTAAAACTGTTATTTGGCACCTAACTATGTATGATGGCAGACACATCCTCCATGAAATTTAATCACAGACTTTGGTTACATTTTGCTTTCTTGCTGAACTCTCTGTCAGTTCTTTAGAATAAATTGTATTATATTATACTCCTTATATTCACCACTGATTTAGACTAAGTTTTAAATTCTGATGTTTTAGATATACTTTATGGATTAATGTCTGTTTATTTATGTGTTTCCCCTACAGAATAAGAGATGTGTTTGGACCAAGCAGAGCTCTGGGACGTGTGGACAGACTTTCACTGTAATGATGGACATCTGCTGATGGACAGGTAAGACTTCTAACTTGTGTTTGTGTTTTGTTGTGTACTAAACATGTAGGTTACCATCATTTTCTTTTTGGAGGGTGACTCCTCTGGAACGCAAATGATGGTAACCTAAACGAGTGGGGAAGGGATGGCAGTTCAACATTTCTATACAGCTAAAAAAAATTTCAGAAAGCTATCAGTTGTCTGAACACACTGAGGTGGGATTTGAACCCATGCCTCAATCACAGCCTTACCATCTGAAAACATGAACTTAACCACTAACCCACTGTGGCTTTTACATTTTGTGCTTGGTTTTTGTGGCACTTTGTTGGATGTAACGACAACAATTTAAAGTAACCAACAGTGAGATTTGAACTCTGGTCTCCTAGATGAATTGTTGTGACAGCATGTGCAGACCGTTTAAAATACAGATCCTGCAGATGACAGCTCTGGGACAGTGTTTTTAATGTCATTAAACAGCATCTATTCCAGCACAAAAACAAACAAAACCGACACCCGCTGCGATAAAGTGCAGGAATCGAGAGTCACTGTAAGTAACTCCACACATGCAGTGCTTTTCTCTTGCACTAACCATTGAAGTACTTACTCTTTGCACTCAAGTCGTTATTTACTTTAATAGCCAAGTATTTCAGTTTTGATGTGTCATTATTTTTTCTGATATGTTGTAGCAGTGCTCCGCTGCCAGTTTTATGTTATGTTATGATTTATGTTATGATGAATTTCATGTGTTGTTTTTAATGTGTCTCCACGCGGACACTGAAGCACAAACACGCATAGATTTGTTGATGTGTTTTTTTTTTTTACTTAAATTTTTTAATTTGAAATAGGCTGCTTGCTATTTGACAACTAAGTATGTATTCATGTAGTTGTTCACATGCCTATGTATTTATGTACTATATATATATACTAACTTTTAAATGTTGATGGTTTAGATGTACTATATAAAGTAATGTCTGTTTATTTCTCTCTTTCCTCTACAGAGTAAGGGATGTGTTTGAACAGAAGCAGAGCTCTGGGACGTGTGGACAGACTTTCACTGTAATGATGGACATCTGCTCATGGACAGGTAAGACTCATAACTTATGTTTATGTTTTGTTGTGTACTAAACATGTAGGTTACCATCATTTTCTTTTTGGAGGGTGACTCCTCTGGAAAGCAAATGATGGTAACCTAAACGAGTGGGGAAGGGATGGCGGTTCAAAATTTTATACAGCTAAAAAATTTTCAGTCTGTCAAGAAGTATAACCCCTGCTGGACATCGTGCCGGGGCTCGGGGGGGACCTGAATCATCCCCACGCCTTCATTCACACAACACTCACTCATATCACAGAGATCTGGCTGGGATTGTGAAAGTGCAGGCAAGGCAACAGAAAGGAATGTGATACGGAAGTTTTTGGTGAAGGCTTTAAAAAGCAAATAAAATGGGGGTTTGGGGAGTGAAAGAAAAATGGTTTTAGAGAATATATATATATATATATATATATATATATACATATATATATGTATCTCCGAGTTGTAATTAAGCAGGTCCCCAAGTATTCCAGTCAAGAAGGATCAATCCTTCACAAGTCAGACCTCAGTAACATTCCCACAGAAAATAAATAGAGCATTCTTAAAATACACCTCTACCATCTCCATACGCAACCCATGTTAGGTTTGTCAGCTTACCCTGAGAACAAGTCCATTCAAACGTCTCGTCAAAAACTATACATGTGAAAACAGTGACCACTGTCACGATCGAAAGGATCCGTGGAGCTCCTCCCTCCTTAATGGCAAGTTTAAGTGGCGGAACCAATTCACAGAGCATCGTTTTTATAAAAATAATCAAAAGGAGAACCAAAATAAATAATTCAATCCATCTCAACAGAAGCAAGAAGATGGGGCGCTTGTCCTCGTTTTTGGAACAGAGCACGAGTGGCGAACCAAGCGCAGAGCCTCGGTTATCTGTGCAACATCAAGCATTTTATGGAGCCGAAAGCAAAAATGTGTCATTCACTATGAGGAAAAAAAAGGAGGCGGGGCCACTTCTTTCACTTAGAAGAGGCCGAAATAACGAAAAGCATCCCTACGAGGCCACTTCCACCATCCACAGTGTCTAGGTGAACTTCAGGGCTACACAGTGCTGGTGTCACTACAGCCCAAAGCTATGCTAGAAGGTTGACACAGAAGTCTTTGGACCAACTTGAAACGAAGAGTCGCCGCTTTGTCGCACTTTGCGAACAGGAAGCCTTATGAGTCATAGGGCGAATCGATTTGGTCGAAGATCCAGATAACCATTCTCCGGCAATGACGAAGGTGGACACAGATGGCGTTAGGAGGTTGGATTAAGCTTTGGTTTTTAGTGTCCCATGGCCCTGCCTGCTTTTGAAATCGATTTTCATTCATTTTGCAATCCGGTAACCATGCTTTAACCTCTTCATATGACAAAATATATTAAGTCTTTAAAAAGGCAAAATTGCTTATCTGCATCAGTCATTTATACAAAGTGCAGAGACACACTGCGTAATGTCCATTTCAGCAAATCACAGAATGAGTGAGAGAAAATATATATATGTGTGTGTGTGTGTGTATATATATATATATATATATATATATATATATACATATACACACACACACACCTCTCCGCGAGTTTGAAACAACACAGAACAAAAAGTAATAAAATTAAAGCAATATAAATTAATGTAACTTTGCAGGCCTGCCTGTCTATAACACAAGAAAAACTATATGAAACTTAAACTTAAAAAAAAAAACTATGACCCGTGAACAAACATATTGGAATGAATCCAGCGGTGCAAGGTCCAAAGAGTTATCACATGATGGATCAAATAAAAAATACAAAAAATCTGTTAACTGTTATGGCCTCAAAGGAATGGCTTCTAATAACAACAGTTAAGCGTAAAGTTGTAGTGAAAAGTACATAAATACATCTGAAATACGCCCACATTGTAACTCCATAGCAAGGCTTCGTGTTTGCTTTATACAGTGAGTTTTTCTACAAGAAACTTTAAATATTATGACCTTTGAAACATGACGTCAGCTATTATAAGGAGGCGAAACAAAATAAAACAATCACATTCTCTAGAAGCGCAGAAACCGCTTTGATTTTGCCCACCTCGGAAATGTCTGATGGTATTTGTGCCGAACCAAGACAGGCTAAAAACATTTACCCAGGCTTCTTTGCGTAGGACATTAGTGGGGATGTGAAATGCAAAATAAAAAAAATACTAGAGTTTGCCTTGACGAAGAATTAAAAGTAAAGAACTTACAGAATATTCTAGAATATATATATATATATATTTTTTTTTTTATATGGTTGCTTCATTTACCCCGGTTCACAATCTATATCTGTAACAGAAAAAAGGGTATATTTATCTACAACAGATGACCCTTGAGGGGAAAAAAAAATGCTGAAGACAAAAGAAATCTATATTATTAGTAACTCCAGCCACAGGCGACGTCACGGAACAAACTCATTGCAAGAGAAAAAAAAAATTCTAAATATCATTCAAGTTATCTCCTGACATTCAGCACCTTTCCACGACTGCGACTTGACGTATTCTCTCTTGTGCCAATTTTCCCATCATTCCATGCCACTGGACCCTGTTTTCTGGCCAGTGCTGTGTGTTTTTCCCCTCCAGGGGCAGAGCAAAGGCAGGGCTTGTGCTCCCAATATCATTCATCCCAAACCCATTTATCTTTCTTCTTGGGGAAAGGTTTTTATCACCTGCCACAATCTGTTTGGGTTTGTTTGCCTTTTTCTTTCCAGTGACCAGCTGTTGGTTTCTCACATCAGTCGTTTTTTATCGAGTTGTCCTATGTGATGTTTATGACATTTTTGTAAAATCACCAATGACACCCTGCAGAGATCATTTTATTTTAAAGCAATTCCGTTGAGGCCGTAGCTCTTCGGGTAAAGAGGAAGAAAAACGGCACATTCTTTGAAAACTAGTCCTTTTCTGTGTTGTTATGGATGAACCCACCGTAGGAACACAAGACGTCGTAAAAACTGACAAGGGATGGAGTTTTAGGATTTGCAGCACTATTTAAACGCTGAGAATTCACCTAAAAGAGGGCACAAAGGACCGATTTGTATCAGTTTTCATCCTAATTAAAGCAATGCAAGTCAAAAAGGTACAACAATGTTTGTGTACGGGTACTTGCCATAGCCACCAGCCTGAATGGGCGTCTTGGGGGAAGCGCAGGCATACAGGCTGAAGTCCTCTGTCTGGAATCCAGCGCGGTTAAGGGACGGTTCAGAAGCGCTGCGGTGGATCTTGGGCAGAGAGTGTGCCAATAACTCAATAGAGGCCAGGATCTGCCATAAATAAATAATATATTAAAATAAATATATGTTAACTATATACATTATATATAATATGTAATATATTTTAATATATATATTAAATGTTCTTCCCCCTGCTTTATTGAAAACATACCTTTTTGTGTACGGTTACAGCCATAATACATATAAATTTTACTACCACTACTACTAATAATAATAATAATAATATTATATATATATTTTTTTGGGGGGGATTTAAAAACATATCAAACTAATTCAAAGTCAAAGCTGCATTCTGTTAATGCCACTCTGATGCCATCTTGTGGCAACATTCCTTAACATAAATCTGCATGGCCTTGACAAATGGCAGGCAAAATGGAGAAAGCAGACTCACAGGTGTTCACAAAATTACCTGAGGGAAAAGAGGTCTCTCCTCTCGCTTTTTCTTCAGACAATCTGCCATAAGTCTCTTCATGGCCTTGGGACAATTACTGCGCACTTTGCTCAGGTCAGGAGCCAGGTAACCCCGTCCAACCATGAAGATAATCTGGATAAGGAAAGATATGCACAATAATTTCTGCAATATACAGATACTGGCAGTAATTTTTCAGGGTACAGATCTGATTTAAGTCATATACATACTTTTTACTAGTACATTACACATATTGTACATAAACATTCAAAACTGATGATAAAACAAAAAAGCATAAGTAGTATTCATGTTTATGTACTTAATGAAATTTAGACAAAATTTGGCAGAAAATGTCTCAAGCTGCATATTCAAGGAGCAAAAAACAATCACTGGTCATAAATTTCCACCTAGTCATCATCTGAACTACTTAAAGTGATAGTTCACCCAAAATACACTAAGAGGTTCACCTGGTCTCTATTGTTGATGTTAGAATAAGGCAGAGCCCCTGACATGAGCTCATAGAGCACAATACCAAACGCGTAGACATCTGACTGGAAACTGTATGGGTTTTTATCCTGCAGTCTGATTACCTCTGGAGCCTGAAGCAGACCAATGAGTCAGTCAAGATGCAAATGTCAGTACAGAAGAAACACTCAAATATAGTTAAGGCATGTTCCTTCACTCACCATCCACAAGATAGAGCCAGAAAGCTGCTCAAACTGGTGTGAGCCACTCCAGCGGGATTTCACTGTAGCCAGACCGAAATCACCAATCTTTACTGTTAGGTCCTCATGCAAAAAGATATCTAGGGAGGTGGTGTTAAGGCTAAGAGCATGTGGATGCACACATGCATATCAATACTAACCTAAAAAAAAAAGATCGATTTATGGATTTGTTATATTTCTAATAATTTCTATAATAATCAATATTTTACAAAGGATACTGTTACTCTTCAGATCTCTATGGATGATGGACTTGGCGTGCAGATAGCTGTGGGTAAAATGATTTACAAGTGTTAAATTCATGCATGATAACCTGAGCAATTGAGTATCATAATGGCAGCAGGTTTCACGCTTTCTATTCAAGCCAGAAGACTAAATGGATTCTTTATTGTTAAACATTACATTGCTATAGTAATTTTTCTCTAAAAACTTTTGAGTGTCTCTCACTCCATGCCCTGAGCTGTCTGACGGGCAATGTCAATCAGCTTGATCATCTCAAACTTGGTCTCGATGATGTGCAGGTGGTGGTAGAGACTCGAGCCTTCACACCACTGTGTAACTATAGCCAGCTGGGGTTTGGTGGTGTAGCCCATGAAGAGCAGGATATTCACATGGCGGGTTTTCCTGCGGGAGATAACGAATTTTCAGTAAGCTTTGACAGAACAATGTTTTGGTAGAACATGAGACTTAACATTTAATGACACAAAATCAAAGGTTTATAAATAACAAGTGAACTGGGTAATTGTTTAGTAAATATTTAAATACTAAGTTTTATTGCTTAATTTCTAAAATAATTGACAGGACACTATCAATTAACAAGGATAGAAAACTCTTAATACAATAAAGTCAGTGGTCAGTGAAAGGATGTGCTTAGCCCTTATGATGATAGTCAATCTTAGGAGGTCAAATTAAATATTATAT